AGATGTCCATCAAAAGATGAATGGATAAAGAAGATGTGATACACACACACACACACACACACACACACACACACACACACAGGAATATTATGCAGCCATCAAAAAATGAAATCTTGCCATTTGCAATGACGTGGATGGAACTGGAGGGTATTATGCTACGTGAAATAAGTCAACCAGAGAAAGACGATTACATATGATCTCATTGATATGAGGAATTTGAAAAACAAGACAGAGGATCATAGGGGAAGGGAGGGAAAAATGAAACAAGATGAAACCAGAGAGGGAGACAAACAATGAGAGACTCTTAATCTCAGGAAGCAAACAGGGTTGCTGGAGTGGAAGGGGGTGGGAGGGATGGGGTGGCTGGGTGATGGACATTGGGGAGGGTATGTGCTATGGTGAGCACTGTGAATTGTGTAAGACTAATGAATCACAGACCTGTACCCTTGAAACAAATACATTATATGTTAATTAAAAAAAATAAATAAAGTTACCAGGTTTGTTACTGCGGACAGTTACAAAAAAAAAAGTAAATCCTTTGTGCCTTTTTTAATTGGGTTGCCTTTTATTATTGAGTTGTAAGAGTTCTTTATATATTCTAGATACAAATCCCTTAGCAAATGTATGATTTGCAAATATTTTCTCCCATTTGGGGATTGTCTTTTCACTTTCTTGATAGTGTCCATTGAAGCACAAAACTTTCACATTTTGATGAAATCCAATTTATTTATTTTTTTCTTTGGTTGTTTGTGCTTTTGATATCATATTTAAGAAACTGTTGTCTATATCAAGATCATGAAGATTTGTACCTATGTTTCTTTTTAAGAATTTTATTATTTTAGCTCTTATATTTAGGTCTTTGATCCATTTTGAGTTAATTTTTGCATGTGATGTGACGTAGAAGTCCAACTTCATTTTTGTATGTGGTATTTAGTTGTCCCAGTACAATTTTTTGAAAAGAATATTCTTTCTCCTTTGAATGGTCTTGACACCCTTGTCTAAAATCAGTTGACCATAGATGTAGAGATTTATTTCTGGACTTGCAATTCAGTTCCATTTATCTACACATCTGTCCATGTGCCAGTACCACACTCTCTTGATTACTTTAGCTTTCTGTAAAATTTAAAATTGGGAAGTGTGATTCCTCCAACTTTGTTCTTCTTTTCCAAGATTGCTTTGGCTTCCAAGATTTTTGATCATCTTATCAATTTCTATAAGAAATCCAGCTGGGATTTTGATATAGGTTTGATATAGAATCTGTAGATCCACTTGCAGAGTATTGCCATCTTAAGTCTTCCAATCCATGGACATGGGATGTCTTTCCTTATATTTAGGCTTATAATTTTTTCCAATGATGTTTTGTGGTTTTGTGGTGTACTTTTTTGTTAAAGTTATTCCTAAGTATTCTTTTTTAAGCTATTTTAAAATGAATTGTTTTCTTAATTTTATTTTTGTTTGTTTGTTGCCGGTATTTAGAAATTCAGTTGTTTTTTGTAATTTGATCCTGTGTCTTGTAAGCTTGGTGTTCTATTTTATTAGCTCTAACAGTTTTTTGTGGATTCCTTAGGGTTTTCTGTATGTAAGATCATGTTCATCTGCAAATAGAGGCTTATGCTCTTTTTAAGCTTATGCTCTTTTTAAGCTTATGCTCTTTTTAATCTGGTGAATAGGTTATGTGATGAAGATTTCATTTGTAAGTTGAAAATTGTCATATAGGTACTAGATAACACATTTTAGTAGTATCCTAGGAATTGTTACTTAACCTATTATTTACATATGTGTTGTTTTCCTTATCTAGATATTTAAGTGTCTATAGTAAAATTATGGTAATCTCTAATCTCTAAAGAACAGATTGTTCAGGGTAACTAAGTGTTCTAGATAGCTTCAAGTTACAAAATAGTTATTTTTTGTTTGATTTTATTGGTGAAAATCATTCTAAAATGTTTTATGTATTTTCCTTGCTTAGGGTTTGTGTAGTATGGGTGGTGTAGGAAGGACTAACATTGATTGAACACCCATAGTGCATTAGCATTTTGTAGATCATTTATGTATCTTCTTATTTAAATCTCATATCTTTTCTTTCTTTTTTTTTTTTTAAGATTTTATTTATTTATTTGAGAGAGAGAGAGAGTGAGAAACAGCATGAGAGGGGAGAGGGTCAGAGGGAGAAGCAGGCTCCCTGCTAAGCCAGGAGCCCGATGTGGGACTCGATCCCTGGACTCCGGGACCATGACCCGAGCTGAAGGCAGTCGCTTAACCGTCTGAGCTGCCCAGGTGCACCAAATCTCATATCTTTCTGAGACAGATATCTTTCTGAGGTGTTTTTTTTTTTTTTTAATTAGAAAACTGAGATTCAGCGACATATTCATAGTCACATATCTAGGTAATAACTCTTAAAACTGGTATTCAGGGCGCCTGGGTGGCTCAGTTGGTTAAGCGACTGCCTTCGGCTCAGGTCATGATCCTGGAGTCCCGGGATCGGGTCCTGCATCGGGCTCCCTGCTCTGCGGGGAGCCTGCTTCTCTCTCTGACCTTCCTCCCTCTCATGCTCTCTGTCTCTCATTCTCTCTCTCTCAAATAAATAAATAAAATCTTTAAAAAAAAAAACAACAAACTGGTATTCAAACCCAGCCTGTCTTGCTCCTCAGTCTGGCTGTTTTCTGGATACAGTGAACATAATTTAGGATTACTTTTATCAATGTCAATATTATGAAATGGTGAAGGAACTCGAAATGGCTTAGCACTTAAGATTTAAAAGACTGTGGACCTTACTTTCTTATAAAACTATTTCATTTTTGCTTTCTTCTCCCCTCCCCCCTTTTATTTACATGACTTTATGAGGCATGTAAACTTGACTTCCTTTTTAAAATAGTAAGTAAACCATCCTTCTGTATATTTCTGATCCTCCAGAAAATCATTATCATCTGTTATTTCTGTGTTCTTTGGCTTGTTTACATCTTTTAAAGCCTTGTGATTTTCGAGTTGCTGACTTAATGGACTATAGGTTTTTTATAATATTTTGTTTATGGTAGCTAGTCTCCAAAGATGGTCCTTAGTAAGGATCTTTAATCACATCTTGTGTTGTTTCTTTTCTCATTGAATCTGGGCTGGCCTATGCCTTATATTAACCAATAGAATGAGATACAAATGAGGCTGTGTCAATTCTAGGCCTGCTTGCTCTGTTTTGGATCTCTGAACTGTTATGTAACCAGCTTAGGTACTCAGCTGGAGAAATCACAGGGAGAGTCCACACAAAGAAGAAAGGCCCTGAGACTACATTAGAGATAAAGCATCAGCCAACGCAGTGTCTCAGTTGAGCCTCTCCATCTAATTTTTACGACATGAGAGACTCCAAGCAAGACCAGCAGGAGACCTGCTCAATTGAGCCCAGTCAACCCACAAAACTGTGTGATATAAGAAAAAAAGTTGTTTCAAATTATTAAGTTTCGGAGTGGTTTGTTAAACAGGAACAAATAACTGGAACAGTGTTCTGGTTTCTCTCTTAATTTTTTTTTGTAATTGAGAGAAAAGTAACATAAAGTGAGATGAACAGATCATAAGTATACAATTTGCAGAGTATAACTATGAAACTAACAATCTAATCAATATATAGAAAATTTCCTTCACCCCAGAAGGTTTCTTCATTCTTCCTTCTGGTCAGTGCTCACCCCTCATAGACAGTCACTGCCCTGTGTCAATTTATTTAATGGCTTTTTTGCCAAATTTACTTTCTTAATTTATTTAGTTTTATTTAATTAGTTTTTATTTAGAAGTCATGATGACATTTAATTTGTCTCTGTCCCACCTCCCTGCTGCTATAAATTGAGATTTAGAGAGGTAAAAAGTGGGGGAGATTGAGGAATAAAATAAAAATACATTCTTGAGTATTAAGAATTCTGATGAATATATATTTCTCAATATGTGTAAGAAGCACTTATTCATAATCATACTTCTTATTCATGGCTCTTTCCTATGCCCCAGGCTCTGTTATCCTATACCTTTATGGATTTTACATCCTTCATTTTTCAATCTCTGTGTGCCAGAACATCCTGCTTCAGCATCAACAAGCTAGGGCAGAGATAGTGGTATATTTCTTACAATGCTTTTAAAAAGATAAAATGAAAATTGGTCAACTAAAACTAAATAATTTAAAGAAAAAAAAGAATACAGGCTAGTTGCTTGGCATACTGGTCTAATTCAGCTCTGACATGCCTGTGGAAAAAGAGAAAAATGGCTGGACCTTATCAGAAGTCCTGAATCTTCTTTATGTACCTAGCATCAAGGAGTATTAAAGGAAGTCAATCTATCATGAGGGTTAGGTCCTGCCAGGATTTGCACAGGAAGTACAAAAGTGAGAGTATGCACCATATGAATGACGGTTGAGCTTTAAAGCACTATAATCTGTGCTCATGTAAAATGTGGATCCTTGCAGTGCCCAGGCTCTAAGAAATCAGATTTGCAACTTCCCTTTTTTTTGAGGAAGGACTGGTGACTGGTAAGAGGGGGTAGGCAGAGGGTAATAAAGCATAGAGAGAAAGAGAGAAGTTCCCCCTTAAAGATTGTTTCCTTTTATTTGAGGTTGTTTTTATGAAGTTCTTCAAATTTGCCTTAGAAATGATGTTGTATGGGAAGGAGTTATTACTATTTTGGGGATTAGAATCATTCCAGTGCAGTACTAATAATATTTCTAAGACATAATGTTTGTAAAGTGCCTAGCCTAGTTCCTGGTATACAGTAGGTGGCTAGTGAATACTAACTTCCCATTGGAGTTTAGAGAAGAGCATCAGAGTCCAGTGAGAGAAGGAACAAATGGCTTAGAAATGCATACATGAGCCAGAAGAAGAAGTAGGATTTAGATAGGCTGATATTGAGGAGGACATTTTGATAGTGTGACCCAGATAGCAAGCCCCACTTTGAGTATAGGTGAAAAGTAGTAGAAAAGATGACTGTAAAGGTAATTTGTATCATATTTTGGAAAGTCTTTAGTATCACTGAGAAGTTCATAATAAATCTGTTAAGTAATGAGTCACTGAGGATGGTTTTTGGGCAGAAGAGTTACCCAATCAAAGCTGAGCCACGAGGAGATTAATTTGGCAGTGACATGTGGCATATGCTAGAGTGAAGAAAGACTGATGGCAGAGTATTGCAGTAATCCAAGCTGCATGAAAGCCTGATTCGTGTGTTTGATTTTCCATTCTTTTTTCCAGCAAATTCAAATACTTGCATCATCTTTATTATGAACACACATTTTTGTTTATTTGTTTTTTATATTTATTTGTATTATAGCACTTTGGGGGGCACTTTCATAAGAATCACTGATTTTAAATTTTCTAACAACTCTTCAATATAAATGGCAACCCTCTTGGGTCCCCTCCCTCTTCGGTAGCTTTGTACTCTGTCATTCAGTAAACTTTACTATCACTCAATAAACTTTGCTTTGCTGCCCAAAAAAAGGAAAGAAAAATAAAAGAGTAGACCTAAATCTGTTGACTCCCAATTTCAGATTCTTTCTGTTTATATGCTCTTGCATTTTAGAAGCGGCTTTTAAGGCTACCATTAGCAGTCAGGAATTTCATATACTTGGGAATATTCAGGAATGTAATGGACAAGTGTTTTTCTCAGGAAATCGAGAACTATTAATGGTACCATAAAAAACCAAGATGAGGGGCACCTGGGTGGCACAGTTGGTTGAGCAATCAACTCTTGGTTTTGGCTCAGGTCATGCTCTCAGGGTCGTGGGAAAAAAAACCAAGAGGATACTACCTTTTATTTTTTATTTTTTTATTTTTTTTAAAGATTTTATTTTTATTTATTTGACAGAGAGAGACACAGCGAGAGAGGGAACACAAGCAGGGGGAGTGGGAGAGGGAGAAGCAGGCTTCCCGC